ATATTTCATTTGCTACTTAAAACATATTTGAAGTTTATTGACAATATGTTAATAAACTTTAAATATGTATTAAAGTAGCATATGAAATATTTTATATAGAAATTATTGTCAGAATATTATATTTTTTGACAAATATAATATTCTAGTATTTCCTTCTATAAAAATAGCATAATTTATTTATAATATTCGAAATTTTTATCTTTCGATTTTTAGAAAACAATAACAAAATAGTATAAAAAAGATATATAAGAATATCTGATTTTTTTAATAATACATGATAATAAATATTTTATATAAATAATGAAAAGGTTAGATATATAAAATATTTTAGGTTAGATATATAAATAAAATAAACAAATTAATATAAAGTATACATTAATTATATGTATAGTATATAATTTGTAATATACATATAGTATATTTCAAATATATAATATAAAATATATTGAAAAAAATGTAAATATATTAAATATGTCACGTAATAATATAGATATAATTTAATTTTGTAAATTGTGCAAATTTATATAAAAAGAACATTGAAAATCTATATAATAGATCAAACATTGAAACATTGAAAATCTATATAATAGATCTATATAATAGATCAAACATTGAAACATTGAAAATCTATATAATAGATCTACAATATATAATAGATCATTCTTAAAGCTATTTGTAAAACATATTAATAACAAATAAAGATAGAATTTATTATAATTATTATAGTTTATTGGCATGCATTTTATTTAAGACAAATTTTTAGAAAGGATTTTTTTTGTTAATTCAGTGTAGACACAAAATAATATAACAATAATTAGAATAAATTTACGAATAAATTTTAAATTTTTATAAATTGTTTATAAATTCTTAAATTTACATTAGAGCAATTAGTTATAGACAAATTGATTACACATATTATACTTTTATGCTAGTTAAATTTTTCTTTACATATAATAATTTTATTGTTATAGTTGCTATCAATTTCAGCTATTATATAGTTTACTAATAGTTTATTATTATTTTTATAACTAATATTTTACATTAAATTTCAAGATTTCTAATATTTTTTAAAAATTTATTTAAAAGTTTACTTACAAATTGTAAAAAGAATTGATTAATTGCTTAATTATTGACTTATTGTTAGTACGTACTTGTAATTTTTTCTGTAATTACTTAAATGCAATTATTTCGAGATATACTATGTATATGCACATTTTCTTATACACAGTTTGTATTACCTGCTTGCATGGTATATCTGTCAAAATATTCTGGCACTTTAAAAATTTAACTTGTTTAACTTATTTCTGACAGACAACTACGCGCTACATAGTAGAAGTGTCTGCTTTTATTCCAACACAAAGATAAAATACACCTAAATCCTGATATCTCAGGTACCTTATCTTACAGTTAATTATACTTTGCAAAGCAGATTTATTTCAAAGGCGAATATTTTCAAAATGGCATTAATGTAATCCTAAATTTGATAAAACATGTATATTCAAAATATTTTAAGTGGTTTAGTTGTTAATATATTAAAAATTAAAATTTAAAAAACTTAAAGCATAATTACATATTATTAAATTAATGCTATATTATTGAAATTATTGACATATACTTTGACGATTAATTTAAAATCCTTTTTTTATAATAAAAAAATGTAATTATTGCAATTTTTTACTATGAATCAAAAAACTTACAATTCAAGATCTCATTCTTTATTTAATCTGAAATAGACGTTAATTGATGTTTAATATTAGATTTAATTATTAACATATATATAATGTATTAGAAAATATAAAGTTATAATAAAAATAAAATAAAACAAAATTTTCTAAAACAAGCAAAAATTAACTTAATTCATTTAATCTCAAAGGATATGTCAATAATTAGTTCGCTAATTTATAGGATGGCTGTTTCTTAAAAAATTATAAAATATATTCTTGTTCTTAATTAAATAAAGTAGAGTTGATTTATTGTAATTAATATTGAAATGAATTATTGTTGAAACACATTAAAAAGTCAATAATGATATCTTATCTCGCAGATGTGACATAAAAATAGAGCACATACTTTTTTTACATATACTTTGACATATATGATAAAATTGATGAGGTAATAACTAAAAAAATATATTTTTATTATATGTAAAGAAAAATTTAACTAGCATAAAAGTATAATATGTGTAATCAATTTGTCTATAACTAATTGCTCTAATGTAAATTTAAGAATTTATAAACAATTTATAAAAATTTAAAATTTATTCGTAAATTTATTCTAATTATTGTTATATAATATTTTGTGTCTACACTGAATTAACAAAAAAAATCCTTTCTAAAAATTTGTCTTAAATAAAAAATGCCAAATATATAAAAAAATGACAAACCTTGTATATAACAATCAATACAAAATTATATAAGAAAACAAGCAAAACTATTAAACATTATTCAATAATTATTTATTCGAAAATATAAATTAGATTAATGCCATATATGTATCTAAATATAAGTACTTATTTATTAATAAATTTATTTATACACCTAAATAATTTGCTCGTTTTTAAGTTGGCCTGTTTATGTACGTTCTACTTTATTTAATTTTATACGAGCCGTAAAAAAAATTCAAAATAATACTGAGACAAATTATTTCGACCAAAAACTGGCTAATTCTTTTATTACATGTAAATGAACACTACGTTTCGACCAACATTGTGGTTTTTTCAAGTGTTATACTTATTCTGCAATTACATTAATTCGAAACGGAGACATGAAATTATCACCTGTCATGTTAACAATCTGTCAGTAACTAACAGTAAGATTGTTAACATGACAGGTGATAATTTCACGTCTCCGTTTTGAATTAATGTAATTGCGGAATAAGTATAACACTTGAAAAGGACCACAATGTTGGTCGAAACATAGTGTTCATTTACTTTTAATAAAAGAATTAGCCAGTTTTTGGTTGAAGTAATTTGTCTCAGTATTATTTTTAAATTGTCACTAGCGATCAACATTTATTTAAAAAAATTTCATTTACTAATTTTTTATTTTTATTAATTTAATAAATTTAACAACTGTGTTTTTTTACGTCAGATTCTCCCCAGAAAACATTTTGCGTGCAAATACCTAGCTATTGCATACAAAAGCGGCTTATACTGCGCAAGCAAAACCTTAGCCTAGTGCGTCCTCGTAGTGATAGTAAATGCTAACACACTTTGCGCGCGATCTCATCTCGTTATAAGCATGCAAGATGAGCACTATTCAACAAACATATTGCTGTCACTATCACATCACTGGCATATTTTTGGCAATTTGATATCTATTTGCACGTGATTTGTTGGTGTATCAAATAATACATAAGCTAACCATTTGCGTGCAATATGTACGATTGAACATATCCCACAAGCAAAACTCAGGCAAATCTCGTACACAATTTATATGTATAAGACGCGCAAATTTTGTACGCAAAAATTGTTATCTGGGTCTTTATTATTTTATGTATAAAGTATTGGGGTAAAAAAATCAATATTTTACAAGATATTTCATAGATTAGGTAAAATTAGTGTCTTTAAGTAGAAAATATGTTGTAAATTTTTTTACCAACTTATCCTTATAATTTTTATGTCAAAAATTGCGAGAAATCGATCTATATTAAAAAGTTATAATAAATCCACTTAAAAAACATAAATGACTGTTAAATGAACTTAAAAAGTGCCCTTCAGAAAAAAGTCAATAGTATCATCTTCTGTTCCTCTTCAAATCAAACAACTTTTGTCTGAAACATTTTGTTGTACAATCAAAAATAAAAAAAAGTTATTTTCTATGTATTTGACAAACATATTCGTGAAATATGAAAAACCAATATAATATTCGAGTATAAACGCAACATAAAAATGTGCATTTTGAATTTAAGAGTGCAGATAATGCTTTTATTTTCCACGTGACTTATAACAAAAAATTATTGTTTAATATGAACATAAATATTTTATATTGCATCATATTTTATATTTGATATAATTCTTAATATCCTAAATATACCTATGTATGTGTTCGCTACTACTGAATAATTTTAAAACAGAAATTTTATCTTAAATCTGAAAATAAAAATGTTGAGATAAAATAACATAAAGTACAATAAAGTTTAAAATTTTTCGGATTATGTTTATAACATTTTTTTTATTCTAACTTTTGTATAAATTGAAGAGTATCATAATACTTCAAAATATAATACGTAATTAAAATTTTAGTTATTTAGTAGTAAAAGAAAATTGGATGGTAATATAAAAAATACATATAGTTGTATAGAGAATTGTTATATCATACACTTTACTTTATTTTCCAATAATAATTATATGATATATAATTATGATCAAATAAAAATTTTCTTGAATATACAGGTATATATATATATATATATATATATATATATATTAATAAATATTTTAAACATATTAATATATATAGATATTCATATATATATATATGAATAATAATTATATGATATATAATTATGATCAAATAAAAATTTTCTTGAATATACAGGTATATATATATATATATATATATATATATATATATAGATATACCTGTATATTCAAGAAAATTTTTATTTGATCATAATTATATATCATATAATTATTATTCATATATATATATATATATATATATATATATGAATATCTATATATATTAATAGTTTAAAATATTTATTAATATATATTATTTATATATGTATGTATATATTATACATATATTAATATTTAATATATATTATATTAATAATTATCAGTTTTGATAAAATATATATACTTAAAACAATTTAAAACATTTATCAATATATAAATAATAATTTATATCATTGAAAATATAATGTTACAAAATTTGTATTTTAAGAGGATAGTAAGTGATTTATATAAATTATATAACATATTTATGTAGTAATTGATTATTATACTATAATACTGATTTATTAGTATAAGATATTTATTTTAATATAACAGAAAGATGATTGTACAAGTTGTATTTGTATTTCTGTTGATTATACATATTATACTTTACATAATTTCGATACGAAAAATACTGTTTGAAAAATGTATAATTCTTCACAGCATCGAATGATATATTATCATACAATGGTTACAGAATATTTGCATTAATTTAAAAAAATCTGCTGATTGTATTGTATTAGTATTAATATAGCCATCATTACATTACTTCCCAGTAAACGTCATGTAAAACTTTCCACCATGCTTCCCAAACCAACGCTAAGGATTCTGTACCCTGAAAAAGAAAATAATTAACATTTAATTCCTAATTTGATATATATATATATATATATATATATATATATATATGTATACATTGGTCAAAAGAATTATTGCAACACGCAATTAATATCAAAATTTCGCGTAAATTCAAATAAGCATATTTTTGCAAAAAATTATTATATTTAAAAAATTTTTTTTTGTGTTTTAAAGGGTGAAGTCTCTACTTTAAGAGTTCATTCGATTTTGATTTTATCCTCTCCCCTCTCTCCACCCCTTTAAAAAGTAAGGTGTTTTTTTTTCAAAATTTGACGAACTCTACGAGGTAAAATAAATTTTTTTTGCAAATCTTATTCAAATTTTCGTAAAATATGGACTTTTTCCTACAAATTAAAAAAAGTAAAATTTGTACGATTTTTTTGGGTTAAAGTTGGGGTAGAGTTACGGCATATCAAAGTTATTTATGCATTTTTGTGCAATTATCACCAGCATTAGCGATATCCGGCACGCATCAACGATGATTGCGCGACAAATTGCTAATGAAGATCTCCCTCACAGAATCAATGATCAAACAATTAGAAGACGTTTACGTGAACGTAATTTAAGATCGCGAGTTCGACATTTTCCTCTTTAATGTATAGAAAAAATGTATGATCCATACATTTGGAGAGAAAATGTCGAACTCGCGATCTTAAACGCGTTCACGTAAATGTTTTTTAATTGTTTAATCGCTGATTCTGTGAGAGAGATCTTCATTAGCAATTTGTCGCGTAACCATCATTGGTGCGCGTCGAGTATCGCTAATGCTGATGGTAAATGGAAAAAATGTGTAGGTAACTTGATATGCCGTAACTTCGCGAAAAAATATTGTACGAACTTTGCTTTTTTTAATTTCTAAGAAAAAGTCCATATTTTACGAAAATTTGGATAAGAAAAAAATTTATTTCACCCCGTAGAGTTTGTCAAATGTTGCAATTTTTTTAAACAAAAACACACCTTTCTAAAGGGATGGAAAAAGGGGGAGAGGATAAAATCAAAATTGAACCAAAGTTTCTTAAAGTAGAGACTTCACCCTTTGAAACAAAGAAAAATTTGTTCAAATACGATAATTTTTTGCGGAGATACGCTTATTTAAATTTACGCGAAATTTTAATATTAATTACGTGTTGCGATAATTTTTTGACCAGTGTATATATATAATATATATATATGTATATATATATATATGTATATATATATATATATATATATATATATATATTTATAAAATAATTTTTTCTTGATTTTCTATTTTACATATATTTTTTAGAAATTACTCTATAATACATACATATATACACAAATTATATAATAATTGATTAATTAATAATTTAAATAAAACGCGCATTTTGAATTATTAAAAAATTGTCAAACATTGATGATTGATACAATCTCTAAAGTGAATATTAAAAAATACAAGTTATATCATTACATGCACACACAGAAAGCTTTTATACCAGTTCATCCTGATGGAGTGCAATTTTTTCGGCAGTTTTCGTATATTGCTCCTCTTCTTTTTCAGCCTCAGTTTTATTAATTTCTTGAGCCATACTAGAGATCGTGACGATCAAAACAACTAACAAAGTTAGATACATTAACTTCATTGTTGCAAACTTAAATATCCAACTAAAATATTCAACATCTAAACTTTACCTATCACATCTTCACCTCTATTTATACTATAAAAATCGTGACCAAAATACCATAAACATTATCTAATCCAAAGAATTATAAAATTTATCACGACTTTATATAACTTTGAATATATTTTTTATTCTAGATAAAACAGTGTTTTAGTATCACTTTAATAATAGCAAACAGTATCACTGATCATAAAATTGCTTAAAGGAAATGAACACGATGTTTTATGTATTTAGATATTCACATATACATTTATGATATAAAACACGTTTCTATATTATTTATTGCGTATAATATAATGAAATAATATATTAAAGTGTATGAGAAGAATTATTTTACTAAATTTAAGAAAAAAAATGTCAATTAATTATATTATTTCTTAATTTTAATCTCTAGATATAATGAACTGTCTTTATTTTTCGATGATACGATCTATCAATGTTACTGTATGTAATATTATCACTAGAACTATTAATAATTGTTACAATAATTAAAGATGCTGTTATGTTAAGAAATATGATTGTCGGTGAATAAATTTCAAAGTAAATATAAATGATAAAGAGGAACCCAATTCCGATGATTTCGATTATAAAGTTTCATGCAAAGCAAGTAAACTGACAATGAAAAATTTGATATTGAGCACTATTTATACGGGTATCACTGTCTATTGTGACGTAACGCTTTTGCGTGCGTCCGTCAAAAGGATGATAGCCCACCGGGAGAGAGAGAGAGAGAGAGAGAGAGAGAGAGAGAGAGAGTCTGGGGATTGCACCTCTCTTAAAGAGAGAATGCGAGAGCCTCCGTTTGGCAGATTTCTGTCCGGTATCTTTCGCGTTTTGTCTTTATAACTTAACAAAATATGTTCTTATAACTTAAAAATTATTTTAAAAAATATAATTTAAATAATAGCATTAGAAAATTAAGAGTTTAACAAGGCTCTGTAATATAAATATAAATTTAACGTGTAAGTCAGGCAATAAGAGCCAAATCGCAGATGACAGTGCGTTATCCCAACGAAACTAAATTTTTTCGTTACAATTTAAAAACCTGTGCACAAGGCACTAAATTTTACTTGGTCACGGCCAAGATTTAAAATTGGAATAATCTCTATAAGAGATTTAATTCCATACATCCCCTGTTCCCCCCTTAAGGAAATAAATGCGAGAGAAAAATATAGATCCGAAAGTCGCTGAATCGGGAATCGAACCCGAGACCTTTCGCTTGCCGGGCGACTGCTCTTCCAACTGAGCTATTCAGATCCCTTCGATTCTATACTTTTCTCTGCTATATACAGGGTGTCTGTCCATAGATGTCTGAGCAAATATCTCGCAATTGGTTGAAGTTACAAGAAAGTTTAATAAGAAGAATTTGCACGGCTCTAAGTCAGCTACAAAGTGCGCGTAATAATTTTTGTTCTACTCGTGGTCCTTTCGAGTTATGCAGATTAACATAGTTTTTTTAAATGGATACCTATAATTTTTTATGCATATTTGTATAGTAGGGATCATTTGCGACAAAAATCATATGTAGTAAAAAATTCCTACTATGCATCGTTTACGAGATAATTGACATTTTATGTATGAAAGTAGTAAGTTGGATTCTAAGTATTTTTGAACGGTTTGAAATGTCAAAGAGAGTTCGGAGAAGAAAACATACAATGTTTGTTTATAGAACATTTATTAACACATAAATTGCTCGAAATTTTGACCATCATGTTCAATACAATATTCAACGCGTTTTATAATATTCCTCATTGTTAACTGCAGCATTTCTGCTGTAATGCCTTTAACAGCTCTAGTGATTTTGTGTCGTAACGCGTTGAATATTGTATTGAACATGATGGTCAAAATTTCGAGCAATGTTAATAAATGTTCTATAAACAAACATTGTATGTTTTCTTCTCCAAACTCTCTTTGACATTTCAAACCGTTCAAAAATACTTAGAATCCAACTTACTACTTTCATACATAAAATGTCAATTATCTCGTAAACGATGCATAGTAGGAATTTTTACTACATATGATTTTTGTTGCAAATGATCCCTACTATACAAATATGCATAAAAAATTATAGGTATCCATTTAAAAAAACTATGTTAATCTGCATAACTCGAAAGGACCACGAGTAGAACAAAAATTATTACGCGCACTTTGTAGCTGACTTAGAGCCGTGCAAATTCTTCTTATTAAACTTTCTTGTAACTTCAACCAATTGCGAGATATTTGCTCAGACATCTATGGACAGACACCCTGTATATAATAATGTTGATAAACAAACGCCTTTAAGTCAGCGTGTACAAATTAAGAATTTAACAAGGCTCTGGAATATAAATATAAATATAAATTGAGAGTGTCAAACAGGCAATAAGAGCCAAATCGCGGATGACAGTGCACAGTATTGATAATGACAGTGAACAGTATTACAGAGCCTTGTTAAATTCTTAATTTGTACACGCTGGCTTAAAGGCGTTTGTTTATCAACATTATTATATATATAGCAGAGAAAAGTATAGAATCTGAATAGCTCAGTTAGAAGAGCAGTCGCCCGGCAAGCGAAAGATCTCGGGTTCGATTCCCGATTCAGCGACTTTCGGATCTATATTTTTCTCTCGCATTTATTTCCTTAAGGGGGGAACAGGGGATGTATGAAATGAAATCTCTTTTAGAGATTATTCCAATTTTAAATCTTGGCCGTGACCAAATAAAATTTAGTGCCTTGTGCACAGGTTTTTAATTTTAACGAAAAAATTTAGTTTCGTTGGGATAACGCACTGTCATCCGCGATTTGGCTCTTATTGCCTGTTTGACACTCTCAATTTATATTTATATTTATATTACAGAGCCTTGTTAAATTCTTAATTAATTTTCGATATTATGTGAAATTTTTATATGATTTTGTATTTTTTAATAATTACTGTAATATAATACTGAGGAAGACCGCGTGCGGTTGAAACGTTTATTTTATAATGATTGTAATTTTCGCTTAAGTTTGAGTATAGAATGTTTGTAGCTTTTACATAATGTTTTATGTTTAGTTTATACATGGAATAAATTTTATTAGACAGAACAACTCTAATAATTGCTCGATAAGTTGGCCTTTTTATCTATCACTAGTTGTATTTACAATATACGAGCGAAACTTTGTATCAATTGATTTTTAAGTATAAATTGTTTTATACTTAATAGGATGACTCGAAAGAAAATTGATGTATCTGCCAGAACATGTAGGTTTCCTAAACCAATTAGTTGTCAATTCAATCCCATTGCGGATATATAACTGTAGTATTTAAAAAATTAATAGAAGAATTAGTCTCTATTTCATGCGTAAATTTTAATCGTTTATGATAATTATTAAATGTACTTAAAATTTCATTTATTTATATTAGAGTTAAGTAAAATAACAAAAATGTCATCCACATATCTATAAAAAGTCTGAACTTTAAAACTTAAAAGATTTAAACAATTTGTTTCTAAGTCATCCATTACTAAGTCAGCTAATATCGGTGATAGAGGGGATCCCATAGGGCTTCCATAAATCTGTTCATAGTACTGCTCATTAAATTGAAAACTAGTTGAAGTAAGTATTACATCAATAGCGTATAGAAACTGTTGCAAATTAAATTTAGTTTTTAAACTTATGTCACTCCAACGATTTTCAATTGCAAAAAAAAAACTAAATCTTTTGGAATATTCGTAAACAACGAACAAACATCCAAGGAAATCATTACGTCATCGTCATTAACTCTTGTATTCCTAATAATATTCACAAACGTCCAACCATCTTTAATATTTGAATCCGGTTTCTTAACAGATTTAACTAATATATCATGAATGTAACTGGCAATATTAAAGGGACTGCCCAACTATGACACAATGATTCTCAATGGATAACCGTTCTTATGAAACTTTGAGAATCCATAACACCATGGTAAATTACCATTCGTACAATTCAAAAATGTATATGTTTGATCATCAATGATCTCATTATTATGCCATGACTTTACTAACGTGTGAAGTTTATTCTTCAGACGTTTAATCGGATTTTTATTTAATTTTTTGTATGTCATCGAATCATTTAACAATAATTCCATATTAGTCACGTAGTCATTTCTATTCATAACCACTGTAACTTGTCCTTTATCAGCTTAGCTTTGGTAACAATCAAATCTTTATTATTCTGCAAATATTTATTAGAAGTATTAAAAGTATTCTGAATAAATCTGTCACAATAATTAATATGCTTACTTTTAGATAGAAATTTTTGTAGTGAATTGGCAATAGATATTCCGCAGCAAAAACCGATATGTAATTGTTACATTGCTGTAATAAAATGGAATATAACAGGTAATATAACGTGTACATTACATGTAACATTCATGTTAGTTGTAATTTCCAACTCATAGATGTAACATTTTAATATAACATATTACATTGTAGTTATATTGTAATTATATACCAAATAGCACATCGATGTATTGATAAGTCAGTGCTATCTTGGGATATAATGACAATATAACTACAATATAATATATGTAATATTAAAAATGTTACATCTATGAATGGGAAATTACAACTAACATATACGTTACATGTAACATGCTTGAGTATATAACATTTATATACTGTGTTTGCTGGGTCTAGTTGTTTCCAAAGCATCCTCCGGAACATAACGACAATTCGATTCGAAATTCTTTATAACTTCAACAATATAATTTAGTCGGTCGTCCTTATCTGAGCAATGAATCGGCAATGCAAACGTGTCACCTAAACTTAAGAGTTTAGATACAGTATCAGGTAACACTTTAGAGCTGATATTTATTAACCAGTTAGAATTGTCAATGCTTTCCAACAGATTTGAAAATACAATATGTTTCTGTTTCATCCTATTAAACTTTTTTATCATCCTACTTTTTGTTCTACAATTAAAATTATTTAATCGTTGTTTACTTAAACAAAAAAACTGATTTACCACCCCAGATAGCCAAACGTTCCTTGGCATAATAAGGAAAATGATTGCTTGACATACATTTCCTTTAAGTTGTCATAATGTTGCTATCACCAAAACAATGCTCATTTTGTTTCGACCAATGTAAGAGCATTATATAGACAACAGTTGCTTTCGTAAACAAACACAATGTTGTAGCATATTTATTGTTATAAAAGTTGCTACAATATGTTGGAAACTATTGTTGCAAAATATTTAGTCATATGTTTCCATCAACTTAATGGAAATATATAATTTAAAATAATACATATATATAATAATGTACTTATAATTATATATATTTTATATATTTGCGCACGTGTAATATTTAAATCTGTGTCTGATGATTTATTTTTTTTATTAAGAAAGTTTACACACATAAAATTGTTGTAATCGCAAATTATGGAATATTAATATAAAATATTACAATAATAATTTGAAAATATAAGAATACGACCACATTAAAATGATATTTAAAATGAGAATTGAATAAAAATATAGCGGAGTAATTATATTTTTTTGTTGTGTGCATGGTTAATGGTGTCTCAGGAATTTCTGGTTCCCAAAATCCTAAAACAAAATTATTATATATTTTACATAATTAATGTATTAATGTTTCAATGTCCTACTCTTAACAGTTACACTATTGAGTAGGACATTGAAACTAATGTTATATCTACTGTTACTTTGGTTTGCTAGGTATACACACACACACGCACGCACGCACGCACGCACGCACGCACACACGCACACACGCGCGCATACGCGCACACACACACACATATATACCAATATATATATATTAGAAACATATATATTAAATATATCTACATTATATATACCTTTTGATGTATGTGGTCTCTCATATTTCTTCCTATGTCTTGAGCATTTATTTTTTTGCTTCTGTAACTCTGTTTTAGACAAAGATAGACTCTTGTAATACTAGAAATTATATATAAAAATAAATATTATAAAGAGATTTATAATATATATAAAAAAATGTATAAAGTAAGAGGGAACTATTTAGATTTTATTATGTAATATTAATATTTACTTTTTCACATTTCCAACAATCCCAACCATTTAACGCTGATCTCTGAGCTTTGGATCGCATGTTAATATTAATCTGCTCGTTAATGTTCTTCTTTTTCTTTTGCAATCTGTAAATATAAGATACTTTAATGAGATATTTATGTAACAGAAATTTACATTATTACCAAATATTAAATAAATAAATATTCACACATATCATACCTAGCCAGTGATGCAGTAGGTGGCTTGTTTTCTATATTGTTATCTAAATCTATTGAATTTGTTTTAACATTTTTGTTTACTGCATGCTTTTTTCGTGACTTTTTAATCCTTTCTTCGATTTTTTTATCAGTCGTGGAAATAAAAGGCTCGGACTAATCACATCATCACGTTTATTATCTTGTACTGCAGTCTGTATCTCGTTCTAAAAAAATATTAAACAAAATATTAGTAAAACAATCATGTGTATCCTCCAGTAAAAGAAAATTTCTCATAGGGAGAAAGAGATAACCTTTGAATTAGTGCAGCCTAGAGTTAAGGTAGTGCAGGAATAAAAAGCAGATCCTAAGATCTAATAATAAGTAATAATTTTATAAGTATACCTTTTTCTTTATGTGCATTTTTTAGTCGTTTATTCCTCTTGTGGCAAGATGTAACTATACTATCAATTACTTGACTTTCCACTTAAAACTGCGACGTAACTAATGTAAAACGTACTTTATGCCGCAGCCGTCTTGCGTCTTGTCGTATAAAATAGAAACACGCCTTAAACGTAGATAAAACGGCCAGTGATGAGTAGGTATACTATGGGGGTTCTAGACCAGGGGCAATGAGGGGGGGTGAGGGGCGGGGGGGAATCGGGGGCGAGGGGGGTGACGTCACGCGGGGGGGAGGGGGTCTTATCAGTAGATAAGCTTATCTTTGTTTATAAACATATCAGATAACCTGATAAGGGGATCATGTTACCTGATATATTTATAAACAAGATAAGATAAGGGGATCATGTTACTTGATATATTCATAAACAAGATAAGATAAGATAAGCGGCGTCTTTGAGCGGTATCAAAGTTTTCTCCGAAAATCCAAGATAAGATAAGCTAAGTTTTCGAATCCAAGATAAGCGGCGTCTTTGTAAGGTATCAAAGATAAGCGGCGTCTTTGTAAGGTATCAAAGTTTTCTCCGAAGATAAGATAAAAATTCTGCGAATGGCTGCCGCCGTTTCAGGCCGAGCGCCGACAATCAAGGGGGTTGCGTTTCTTCATCTAAATTTGATAAGATAAAAATTCTGCGAATGGCTGCCGCCGTTTTTTTTTTTAGGCCGAGCGCCGACAATCAAGGGGGTTGCGTTTCTTCATCTAAATTTGATAAGATAAAAATTCTGCGAATTACTAAGAACAAAAGGTTCGCCGACAATCAAGCGGGTTGATCCGTACAGGTTGCGACATGTTTGCGCGGCGTGTCGCATCCAGGCTTGGATCCCGATCCGACGGGGTGAAATTTATCTATGTATTTCTAAGAATTATCAGCGATATCTAAATTTCTCCGAAGATATCACACAAATATTTCTCGCGAATTAACAATTGCATCATCATCCCCACGAACAAAGGGATGATCGGGATATATAATGAGGACCGATGCAGCTGCCGGGCCATAGTACCACTGGCGAGCGCACGCTTCATTCAGAATGTTTGTAATACTATCAAGTGCTTCCGACATTCTCAGTTTAAGTGCCGAACAGTTGCAATATATTCCGAAGATTGTTTTACTGCAAAAGTGCGGATATTTCATAGAGCATTTGTGGGAAAAACTGCCGGAGCACATTAAGACGGATCCGGAGGTTCAGACATATCGTCGCTGCCTCGAACACTACAATCGGCCGTGGATGCGAACGCATATTGACGGTCCTGCACCGATGATCAGGGATTGCAGCGAATGTCAGCGAAAATAGGCTGAGGTTAAAAGTGCGAATAAGTGATAGACATTGAAAAATGGAGAGCGCACCGCAAAATCATGCAGAGTGTCATGAGAAGGGGTGTTATAAGACTGCTGAGAGATGGTATAGACATCTCGAGGTATGTTGTCACAATGAAAAAAAAAACAACCCGTTTAGTAATAAACGTGAAGCGGTGACTTCAATTGTACAATATGTACGAAATCGCGAACTTGGTGTGCGAAAACCGCATACAAGACGTGTAGCCCAGTTCCTGGAAACGCATGAAGACATTGTAAGAGTGGCTGGTGATTTATCTAAATGCACCAGAACGTCTAAGCGACACAAGCGAGTCGCATGTTATCAACGTCGATACAAAAATTGTGTCGATTATTTCACTGTGGACAACTATGAATTTGGCTACATGGACATGCCTTCACCATCGGTGTCATGCAAAACACAATCATCCGAAAATGATTCTGACCAAGAAATGGAGGAGTCAGATAGGAGAGAACCATCGTCATCGTCATCATCATCATCGCCAGATTTTTTGTCGGCAGCCTATTTATCTTTTCTGTGATAAAATAGGTGTACAACATATGTGATATCAACGTGTTCTGAGAGAGAGAGTAGATATGTCTTCGCGGAAGGTGTAAACATGTCGATAGACAACTACTGAGCAGCCGCTATTTTTTGTTTCGTCGGAGATCATCTTTCGGAGATAATTGCATCATTGCATGAACAAAGGGATGACCGGGATATATAATGAGGACCGATGTCACTGCCGGGTCATAGTACGGTGACATACTAGTGAGCATACAGTGAGCATACAGTGTATTGTTTTTTTTTTGCAAAAATGGAGAAAGACATGGAAGTAGTGATCTCCGACAATGAAGAGATGGAGGTGGTGGTCATCCCTGATGACGAGGTGGAGGTGGTGGTCATCCCTGATGACGAGGTGGAGGTGGTCGTCGTCCCGGATGACGAGATGGAGATCATAACCATCTCCGACGACGACAGTGACAGTGATGGTGCGGTGTACGACCCTGTGTACGACAGGGATGTGAACATCCTATTGGACGACATTGAGGATATGGATGTTGATATCGTGCCCATTGAAGAAGACGGCGATGACGATGACGATGATGATGACGATGACGATGAAGATGAAGATGACAATGACGACGGGTACGAAACTGACAACGCTGTCCGGGAGTCGGTGAGGTCCCGGATGTATGGCATACGCGCCACTGCATCCCTCGACGAGACAGCGAGGGTATGCACTGTGGCGTCATATGTCATGGCGTTCGCCATACCATGGGGGTCGTTTAGGATCTGCTTTCGCTGTTTCATGAAAAACAGGAGCAGATTCATAAGCATCACAACCCTCGAGGGACACACAACATCGCGGTACATAAATGTACCCGAACTGCGTTGCGAAGAGTGCCGGGAAAGATTATATATATTCTACCTGGCCAACGCTTGTCCCACATGTCAAGGACGTGAGTATATATATATATATAATATGTCAAAATATATAAAATATTAAATTATTATATTTCTATGCACAGATGTCGAGTCCGATGACAGCGATGGGTGATGCGACCCCCCCTCTCTCTCACTGTCCCGTCAGGGCTGTAAGTATATTAAAATACCAAAAAAAAAAAATATTGAAGCAAATCTATAAAATATTAAATTATTTTATATTTCTATGTGTAGATGCCACTACCTCGAGCCGCCGCCGAATCCAGGCTTGGATCTCTCTCTCTCTCGCTGCTCACTCGCCGTCACAATATATTTTTTATATTTTATATTTTATATTTTTTATATTTTATATTTTTTATATTTTATATTTTATATTTTTATATTTTTATATTTTTATATTTTTTTATATTTTACATATATTATTTTTTATTTTTTATTTACACACACAGTAGAGAGGGTTTGGAGTCATTAAATACCGCGGAAGTGACGAACCGCGGGGTCCTCATCTCTACTGCAACACATGTACAAGTACACACACGCATACACACATGCACATACTCTGACATATGAGGTGTAAATCCGACCGGCAACCTCCACGCGGTACACCTCGGGTAATGCTAATGCCGGCGGTAATATATTAAATAAAAAAATATTAATATAATAAAATGTTTGATTAATTAAAAAAAAATGTTTATTAATTAAAAAAAAATGTTTCCCTTCTTCTTTCCTTATAGAAAAATATGTAAAAACTAATGTAAAAAGTAATGAATAAAATATATATATTTTATTAAAATAAAAAAAAAATGTTTTTCCTCCTCTCCTTCACATCCCTCGCCGCAACATCTCTCTCGCAAAATCCAGGTTTGGATCTCTCTCGTTCACCGTCGCATCTCTCGCCGTCGCATCCGATCTCTCTCGCCGTCGCCTCTCTCGCCGCGAGCCGCCACATCCAGGCTTGGATCTCTCTCGCCGCTGCATCTCTCGCCGCGAGCCGTCGCCTCTCTCGCCGCGCGCTGAATCCAGGCTTGGATCTCTCTCTCTTGAAGGCGTGCGTCTCTCTTACTCTCTTAATGTCGCGTGCGCCTCGTAAGATAAAATTATCGATTCTGCCGCAGCATGGATGGTCTTATCTCGTAAGATAAAAATATCGATTTTTTTCTCGCTGAATGCATTGTCCTTGACACAATAATTATATCTCGCAAAGTATGTAACGGGTGGCGCGCAAATAAAGTACACCATAATATATACATATAAGTATTTATTCGTCTTATATTTAATACATAATTATGTAGTTTTATTACATATTAAAAAAAACTAAAGCCACCAGCTCGCAATCGACAAGTTGGTGCATGTTGAAGGCATTGCTAGCGCGTATCGCATTCGACAATTCTCTCGCATTCGTTACAGTGGATGCAATATTGGAGAATTGAGTATATTTGATATCAACCGTTGCGACGAGCCTCGTCAATCGATCGTACATTATTTCGATACATGAATCGAGCTCGAACATACGATGTAACGTCGATTCGACCATCATCATGCGCACATCCGCTGATTCGAGACTTATGAGCTTGGTGCCGTTTATCTTGTGAAATCGCACTGTTAGCGGCCCGACACTTATGCAATTATACACATCGTTGTTGGAGGAGGAGTCATTGTTCAGGTAATTGTGAATAGCGTGGCGTTGCTCGTAGAGTCCTTTCCACGTTTCGAGAGATAGTAATAGCTGTTTTCCCCGATGATCTCCTATGGCGATCTCCACGTAACTCGGCGGATCCACTCTGATGCCGATTTCGAGGAATTTGAATTCCGTTGCCGTCAATGCGTATCGTCTTCCAAGTATGCGAACTGCACGAGGCTCCAGCGAAACGCTGTAAATTAGGAAAAAAGAAATTATAACTCATAAAAAAATATATAAAATTAAAAATATAAAAGATACAAAAAAAGTTATACTTACTCGTCGCATTTCTTCTCGCACGTTTCTTCATGTCTCGGCATGTAGTAATTCATGCTGCTGCTGCTTCTTTGAACCGAGGGTATTAAAAAAAGTGAACCGTCAGTTAGAACGGTCGACGAAAGACTGATTGTATAATAAGGTATTAATAATCGAGTAACGGTCATTTTTAAAATATTAGGAGAAGGGGATTCTTAGAAATATATCTGGAGGGAAAGAACAAAGAGAAATATTTAAAATATTAGGAGAGGGGGATTCTTAGAAATATATCTGGAGGGAAAGACAAATTATTAAAAGTAGTGGGGGTAAAAGAAATTCTTAGAAATACGATTGCGTGAGAAATTTTTAAAAGTAGTGGGGGTA